CTTCCTTCCTTCCTTCCTTCCTTCCTTCCTTCCTTCCTTCCTTCCTTTCTTTCTCAAGACAGAGTTTCTCTATGTGACAGTCCTAACTGCCCTGGAACTAGCTTTTATAGACCAAGTTGGCCTCAATCTCAGAGAGATTTGCCTGCCTCTGCCTCCCAAGTACTGGGATTAAAGGATTGTGCCATCACCACCCTGATGGGGAACCTCCTTCAGCCAATGGCCTTTGAGAGGCTGGATCAGGTAGGGTTTGGCTTTTAGGTTGCAAAAAGTCCATGGGAGTGCCCACTTGACCTCTCTCTTCCCACTCACCACACCCTGTTCTTGTTTCCTGGTTGTTATCTATGAGTTTTCCTTTTAATAAAGAAAAACCTTAGTATACCCTATTTAGGGTTAGTGTGAGATTATTGGATTCACTTTCCCCTCATCTGACACTTTCCACTTCATCACCTGGCTCTGTTTTTCCTTTTATTTTTGTTACTGACAATAGGCTGAAAGCAGCTGAGGTCACTGAGAACAAAGGAGGGGAAAGTCCTTTAAATTTATATAGTATTGGCAACTGGAACCAGCCTCAAAATTTAGGACTGTCCAGGACCCAAACACTAGTATTTGCTATTTCTAACTAGTCAAAACTTTTTTTTATTCAAAAAGGTTTTTTCTCATTTTACATCTTAATTCCAGTTCCCACTTCCTCCCCTCCTCCTGCTCCCTCTGCTTTTCCCCTCCTCCACTCCCCATCCATTTCTCAGAGAGGGTAAGGCTTCTTATGGGAAGTCAACAAAGTCTAGCACATCACTTTAAGGCTGGACCAAGGCTGTGGTGGGACATAGTTGTGGTGGTATATGCCTTTATTTCTAGCACTCAGGAGGCAGAGGCAGGTAGATCTCTGTGAGTTCAAAGCTAGGCTGATCTATAGAGCCAGTTCCAGAAATGCCAGGGATACACAGAGAGAAAATAAATAAATACAAACAAACAAACAACAACAAAAGAAACAACAGTTAAAAGTTTGAAGAAAAGAACAAGGGAATTCTTGCTTAAATTGGCATGTTAGCACAGAAAAGTAAAAAGGTTAAGTTGTTGAGCTAAGTCTACATACTTGTGAAGTAAGAATATTTTTTTTCTATGTCATCTTAAACCAAATCATAGCAAAAAGCTACTAGAAATCTTTTTTTAGCATTTTGTCAATTTCTAGAAAGAAAAAAAAAGCCATTGAAGAAGGCTCCATTTTGTACAAACTTACCAATAAATAAGTAGGTATAATAATAATAATAATAATAATAATAATAATAATAATATAATAAGTAAGGAAGTATCCTTCCCTCCTAGTCTGTCCACACGTGTTTTGGATCTCCCAGGACAGGGATTAGATAAGTGTGCTGTTTAATAAACTTTCCAAACTTCCATCATCTTACTTAAAAAGTAAGATATCTTAGAATTAGATACCTGATGTTTCTTTTAGTTTAATACATTACTAATTCTATTAACAGTTTGTGCTTATTTTCTACCTGACAGAACAACAAATTTACATATTTTGGAAAAAATGAATGATTGAATAGATGCTTATAAAGAAACAAATTATTAACTTCCTGTTAAACTCTAGGGGATAGCTGAAGATAGCTGATTAGCAATTGTAAAACCACATAATGGCATTTAACTATTTAAGTTGTGGTGTGTTTTTAATTTTTTGTCATTAAGGAAATGATTTTGTTGGCAATGAATTTATTCTTAGTCTCCAGTTAGCTAAAATATATTTCTCAAAGGCCAAATGGAAAAGTTATACTATTTCAATAATTGATAAACTGTTCTGTTTCCTCCCAAAGTTGTAAAAAAAAAAAACAGAATGAAGTTGACTGGATTATTTACTTTATTGCAAATATGCTCAATCCTAAACTATTCCTAAGCATATTCTGTACTGAGGATTAATTTTGTGTTTAATTATTTTATGGACAATTTTATACATGTATAGAATGTGTTTCAGACATGTTCATCCTCTATTACTCTCTCTCAACCCCTCCCTCTCCAGCTGACATCCTTCTTCCCAAGAACGGCCCTTCTATTACCTTGTCTCTTTTGTATGTGACCCACCTAGCTCAGGCTGGGATGCTTTTACACACATGGCTTAGGCAGTATTTATCAAAGCATGGGTGACTTGCTAGTAACTACAGCACTGAAGAAAATATTTCCCATCTACGCTGAGGACTGCTGAAAATATTGATAGGAAACTCGTGTCTCAGTATGAGCTCAAGTGTTCTTAATTTTACACTGTGTTTCTATATAGACTCATAGACAAACGCATCCAAGTTGAAATAAGCATATAGAAATGTCTGCTTTGTCCATGTACACTTGAAAATGTGGATATTTCAACACAGTTTGGTGTACATTGAACATATACACATGCACGCTCACGCACGTGTGTAATATGTTTAAATATACTCTAAATAGAATACTTTAGGATCACTTAATTTTTGGCAAGTCTATCGACAGTTCTTTCATTCAATAACACAGTTTTTAAACCTAAATTGGAAGTTTAGGCTCCAAGAGATGAGGTAGGGTGGGAACTGGGAGGCGGGGGGGCGGCTATTTCTTCCCCTTGGACTGGACCTAGAGGGACAGTTTGACAATGGCAATCATTCTTCCTTGTCTAATGTGCTTCTTCTCCTTTGAGAGCTGGCCTCTAAGCTTAGCCAGATTCAGGGCAGGCAGGCACGTGGCTGACCCACTGAGGGCCAAGCACAGTCGCAAGCTGCTCGGGGGCTTCGGGAGCAGACTATCCCCTGGCTCCTGCCCACCCCACTGCTGCCAGCCTA